TTTTTTTAAAATATCATTTTTTAGCAGCCCAAAAAAGAGGGGGGGGGGGCACGGACCGGCTGTGCCTCCTCCTTTATCCGCTCATGTTCCAAATACATGTAGTTATTTGGTAGAAAATTATCCCTGTTTTGCCATTTGGCATCGTTGATAATTATATTGTGTGCATGTTGTGGATATTTTAATATATCACACGTGAGACAAATAAACGCTATAATTTATGTACCTTATCATTACATCCACTGTGCTTTCAATCTCAGATGCATTTCAACGTAATAATACAGATGTTAAATGTACATTCAGCATGCATGATGAACACAGAACAGTATAAAGCTACTTGTATTTAATTTTATATTCAATAGGAAACATGTTTTTCAAATTTAGGTACTGCCCGTAAAATTCTATTCACTTTCATATTGAAGTTTGTTTCATGATAGGTAATGACTGCTTTACACATAGTCCCTACAAGTTAAACAGAGTATGTCAGTCTATGTGTCATTCCAAGATAGAAATAAAGCACTTCAAATACCTCATTGGACAAACTCGATGAGCTACATGATTTCTTAAGAGTATGAAAAAAAATGTATAATTCGTTATTTCTTGGTAACTATACAAATAAACTTTACACATAATAAAATTGTTACAAGAAATTCTCAATTTCTGAGGAAATGGGGGGATCTAGTAAAAAGCAGTGCTTGTAGTTTGTGGATCCCCCAGAAGAAAAAAAAATTGTTTAAAATTGTGCCTACGAAGATTTGGGAAATACAAGACAATATTACAAAACAACATACAACAACGAAACGACAAGGAGAAGGAAAATAGATACAGGAAGAAGGGAAAGGGGAAGAAGAAAGAAGGAAGAAGCAGGACGAATCATGACCGAAGAAGAGGTAGTTATATTGGTGATTCTCGGAAGGTAAGATCATAAGACCAAATATATATCAAATTAATCGAGCAGATGATTAAGACCTAAATAAAAAAATATTACCAACTGTTATCAGATCATTATTCTTCTTCTTCTTCTGGGATACTCCTCAACGTTCCGTGAGGAACCAAGCGAGGAGGATGAGGGGGTGCGCATTGTGCTTGTTAAAGGTAAAGACCAGTATTGGAAACGCCCCAATTTCAAAAAATGAAATGGAAGCTTTCATTACCAATCATGTGAAAGAATATGTTTTGACTAATACACGATGATAACGAATTTGCCGGGAAACCGCCTACTATTTCATATATTTGGTAAATTTGTTTCTCTCATGGTCTGTGAGAGATATAGGGTAGTCCCATATACATCTTTCTGTGTATAGTGCTTGTAACTTTACGAAGAATGGGCCAAAGTTCTCATCATTTTGATGATTCCAGAACCTTGCAGATGCTAGATGCTAGATGATCAACCTTTTCTGATCGATTCCACAACGTTTCTTTCACAATGCAATCGCATGACCATAACTGGTCTTTACCTTTAAGTGCGTATTGCTTGAGTCTTGGTTGCGGAAAAAGTTGCGGGGGGGGGGGGGGGGGGGGGGTAGTGACCACATTTTTTTTTTTTTGGTCCTCAAAAATTAAACAAATTGCAACCCCCCCCCCCCCCCTTGAGCGCCAGGGGGGGGGGCAACCCCCCAAAAAGGTAAAAATCACGTGTTTTGACATGATTTTTTTTTCTCAAGGCCCCCCCCCCCCCCTGGATCCGCCACTGCCTACAAGCGGGCACAATTTTGGAAAGGGGGACATGCTCACGTTACGTCTCTTGTCCGATATCAACATTCCTCGTTTTCAAGTTATGCTCGCGCGCAATTTTTTTGACATTTCCATCAGTGGGGGCTGAAGCCTCTTGCCCCAATATCTATTTCCTGGTTTCATAATTTGGCGAGCGAGCGAAAATTTGAGCATATGTATGTTGTGAAAGTGTTATTTGTCACCAAACTATATACGAGATAAGATTAAAAAAAGGCATATTGGTAATTTTTAAATTTTCGGGGAAAGAGAGGCTGTAACCCCATCCCGCATTAACTGCAGGTGTTTTGAAATGAAATCAGACTCCCAAAAAAATTATTAACCAAAACGCACGAATCCAGTTTCAAAAATCCAAAAAATGTCAGCTTCAGAGGGGGGCACATCTCCCCTCAGACTCCCTCTAAAAGTATTAACCGAATCGGACGAATCCAGTTTAAAAAATTCAGCTTCAGAGCTAGAGAGGACATCGCCCCCCCCCCCCCCCTGCAGACACCCCCTGTGCGCGCAAGCGCGTCCTGGCGCTAATGCGTAAGCAGGGGCGGCGGAGCTATTTTCAAAGTGGAAAGCACCAAGAAAGGGCACCTACAAAGCGAAATCTCAAAGCGAAAATATACATTTTTTTTAGACATTGGTATATACCCCTTCCTTGTGATTTCATTATCAGGGACGATTTCAATATTTGTTTTTCTTTATATATTATACAAGATATTGCTTAAGCATCACACTTTCGGCTGTGTGTGATTGTCTGAATATTCATTTGCGAACGAGCAAAGCGAGCGAGAAAAAAATGTAAGATCTGTGAGGTCGCAGAGTGAAAAATTACATCTTATAAAGAGGAAAAACAAATCATGATGGGGTTACAAGCACATTCTCATAACGGAAGACTGAAAAGACCTTTGTTAAAGATCGTCAGCACTACTGGGCCAGAAGGGATTAGACCACACAGAGAGCCATCGAGGTCACTGTGACAGGTGGCTATCTCATTAACTCAGCTCTCATTTAACATAAGAAAAAGAGGATCATGGGGGACCAACAGGCACCGATTAGGGAAGTTTTCTATATAGAGGGAGCAAGTAGCTACAAGTATGGCAGTGTGCCTTTAAGTGACAAGTATCATCTATAACTGCGAGCGAGCGAACTTTAGGGGAAATTACTCTTAGTCGCTTTAAATTAGGTGCGAGACTAATGATGAGAGGTAAAGGGGACACTTATCGAAAGGGATAAAGACACATATTAGAAAAGGTCCAAACGGGGCACTTCTTGCACCTGAAAGGAGCCACTCACCAGAAATGAGATGCACTTACGAATGAGGGCACTTACGAGTATGGGAAATGGGCATTTGTCGACGGAAAAGGGGCATCCATCAGAAATTGATTTATCAGAGGTGAAAAGGGGCATTTATGAAAAGGGGATAGGTCCCTTATTAGAAAGGAAAAGGGGCACGATTCAAAATGAAAGGGCAGTTAGCAGAGGTGAAAATGGGCACCCATCATAGATGAAAAGAGTACTTATTAGGAGGGGAGGGGGTACTTTTCAAAGTAAAACGAGCATCTCTCAGATTTGAATAGGGGCAATTATCGGAGGTAAAGAGCGCACTGAAGTGAAAAGAATTAACTTCTCGTATATGAAAAAGGTCATTTACCAGAGGTGAAAAGGGGTACTTATGAGAACGAAAAGGGACACTTTTTATTTATGAAGGGCCTCATTTTTCTAAATAGCCCTTATTAGATAGGAAAGGGGGCACATGTGTTGATAAAATATGCGCTTCTCCGAGTTAAACAGGGGTAACTCTAAAAAGGGGAAGGGGCACTTCTTACAAAGTAAAAGTGGCCCTTTGGGGTACTTGAAAAAGTGGGGGAAATTTGTCCCCTACCCCTGCCACCCGCCCCATCATCTAACAATCCAAAATGATATTGTAGGGGCCAGGCGCGGCTTTATCATGAGTGCTTTTATGTGAACCTCTTTTTATGAATATATTATGCTGGATTCCGACCCAGATTGCACACCCTAAAATGATAGTATGATCATCCCCAATACGCTTGCAGTTCACGTATGCACCCCTTCCTCCTTATCTATCTCCCGTTCTTGATAATGCGTGGGACATTTGCATTGTCTGTCATCCACTTGAGCTTTTGATTTTGGAAAAGAGAATGGCCTTCAGAAATTATTCGAAGTACGGCGGCCAGTTCGCTCCAAGTAGAACTTTTGAGCGACTCTGCGCGAGTCCACTTTCCGTGGAAACGCGTGTGAGTGTTGTCCTGTACGTAGCCTCCGTAACCGGTATCGCTAGCGTCTGAAAAAACTAGCGCAGATGGGGCTAAACAAAATTTAAAAGGAAAACCATTAAACTCTGTAATATTCTTCGTCCAAAAATGCAGTTCTTTGATTACGGGATCGGGTAGCATTATGGAATCTGACCAAAGCGCACGTGATTCGATTGCGCGATACGAGGCGCGTGTCTTGAGCCTACATATAGGACCGAGTGCGAGAGACATTGAGATGATTTGTCCCGCGAATGAAGCCAAATTCTTTATAGGTACTGGTCGTGCTGACTGTGTCAAAGAAATTGAATATTGAATCTAGAACGAGACCTAGATATTGGATTTGATTGGTGGGTTCCCATTTGCATTTTGTCTTGCTGGAGACAAACCCGCTGCGGGTAAGGGTGTCGCGCACTAAGGTCATGCTCGATAGAGCCGCGGGCGCGCCAGTAATAGACTAATGGTCTAGTTAGCTTGGTAAACAAGTAACATGCGCTGTTGAGGCCAAAAGGTAGAACCGTGAATATGTAATATCTAACGATTGAATCATTATGAACCCAGGAGAAGCCTAAGTATTGCTGGTGTGGGGGGAAGATATCGACGTGATGATATCCGGATTCTAGATCGAAAGAGAAATAAAATTGGTTTGGACCGAGTACTTGTGAAATGTGGGGTAAATCTTCATACTTGAATTTAAACTTCTTAACATATTTATTTGGGTGGCGTAGGTCCAGAACCAATCGTAACTTTTTGCCTTCAGCGACTGTTAATGGATTGCAGCATGTGGGACGTGATTTTACTTCGACGACGCACTGTCTTTTCAACAAATCGGCAATGGCCGTCTCAACAAACTCAGAATGATTCAAACTCGATCTGTTATTCTTTGCATAAAACTGAGGGGGAAATATGTCAAAAGGTAACTTATAGCCTTCATTGATAATATCAAGAATAAATGGTGTGGCTTTAAGCTCAGACTTCCAAAAATTATAAGATCGTTTAAGTCTACCTTTGACTCCTGGTGGTAGCTTCACTCTAAAGGGTTCCTTGGGTGACGCCTGGGGGCCCTGGTTGCTGGCGTAATGGCTGCCGACTGGCTCTGATAGCTGGACAACTGGTACGGACGTGACCGGCGATGCCGCACTGGAAGCAGACACGGTTATCGTAGCGGCGCTGAAAATTTGGTGTGAAGGTGGCCGGGAAGCGGCGAAAAGAACCAACAGGGCGTTGAGCAGGGCGAGGATATGGGCGGGGCCTTCCCCGGGTCGACCTTTTGGCCGAAGATTCCGCTCTTTTTGCAGAAGCGGCTTTCTCCGCCTAGACAAAGAAAGGTGGTATGAATTAATAAATACGCTCGGATATTTTGTGATACATAATATATAATCGATATCTAATACTGTGTGCAAATAAGAGACTGCTTTCTGCATAATATACAATCGGTTATAATTAAATGATATAACCGTTATTTCTAATCGTTCATTCATTTCATTGTGAACAAATTATGTAAGTGAATTCGAGGACAATTTAATGGAAAAATTACGTATTACCTTTCGAAGACGCTTCTCATCGCCCGAGTCGTCGGCAAGTTCATCGGCGACATATTCGTTTACAGTTGACCATCCGAGTGGCGACCGGTCAGCGATTCTTATCAGCTTTTGCCTGTCATTAAGTTCTCGGAGTGCTTCCTTCAGGGTTAGCGCTGTCGTGTCAAAATGGTAACCCGACACATGCTCCGCCGACGATTGCTCCGCCGACATTTACTCCGCAAAACGCGACAATTGCTCCGCGACATTTGCTCCGCGACATTTGCTCCGACGTCAAATGCTCCGCCGACAGTTGCTCCGCCGACAGTTGCTCCGCCGACAGTTGCTCCGCCGACAATTGCTCCGCCGACAGATGCTCCGCCGACAATTGCTCCGCCGACAATTGCTCCGCCGACAATTGCTCCGCTGTCAATTGCTCCGCAAAACGCGACAATTGCTCCGCCGACATTTGCTCCGCCGACATTTGCTCCGCCTGAAGCGACACTTGCTCCGCCGACATTTGCTCCGCCGACAATTGCTCCGCCGACAATTGCTCCGCCTGAAGCGACAATTGCTCCGCCGACATTTGCTCCGCCTGAAGCGACAATTGCTCCGCCGACATTTGCTCCGCCGACAATTGCTCCGCCGACAATTGCTCCGCCTGAAGCGACAATTGCTCCGCCGACATTTGCTCCGCCGACATTTGCTCCACCGACATTTGCTCCGCCGACAATTGCTCCGCCTGAAGCGACAATTGCTCCGCCGACATTTGCTCCGCCCAAAAAGTGTCCCATAAACTACAAATGCTTCTAGTACTACGACAAATGCTTCGCCGACAATATTTTCTTTACACCTATTTTTTTCGTTTCTTTTTTTCTTCTTCATTTTCTGAATGTATTTCTTGAAATAATGTAGATGAAATGAAATGAATGAATGTTGATGAAGTGGGAGGAAAAAGGAGTTACCTAAAAGTCATTTCGAATATACTGAAATAACTTTCCATCTATCACTGTACGTCCCATATAATGTATACTAAACACTCATTACATGTCGTGGGAAGTTTTAAAAAAAAAGTAGAGCAGCAAGCCACATTCCCCAATACGCGCATACCTCCTAGTTAATTTCAAGTAGCTCATCAATATGTAATACCTGAAATTACCTCGATCAATGCATCTTACTAGGTAAAGCATTATACAATGTAATAGGTCATCATGGAAGTTTAGAAAATAAGTAAGGGGGATTTATCAAGTGTTGATCTTTTTAAGAGTTTTATAAAGAAACAAAAAGATATTGAATATTTCTCAGCGAAAAAAAGGAACAAGCTTGTTTCGCATTTTAAGAAATGGCGATTTGACTTATGATACTCATGTTGATTTAACTTTTATTCCTGTGCCCCCTCACTCCCCTTTATGCACTGGAGTTCAAACTATGATTTATATGTGTACAGTGTATTTTTTTTTTTATAGGTTTTCCCGCCCAACTTCGTAAACTTAGCATCCGAATTAACGTTACGTTCATTCAAGTTCGTGCGAAATTGAATGACTATGTAGATCAACATTCAAAAAGCTAATTGCGTCGTTCAATTTGATTTAGTAGCATGCGATTTCATACTCTAGTCACGGAGACGTGCAAAACGAGCATTAAATTTAGAAAAGCATGCAAAGAGCATTCAAATTCGTGCCGGACAGAGGGTGGTATGTATTCGAGCATTCAATTTCGTGATTAGGCATTCATATGTGACATTTGTGCATTGCTTTTCATTTGATGTTAATTTGTCACTTAATATACTTCTGTTTGAATAATTTAATGTTAAGTTTACTTGTAGGAATGATTATGCGTATTCGTTATCAGATATCTGTCATTACACAGGTAAATGTCCCCAGAGAAGGCGCACAATTTGTAACTTCTCTTCTTCTTGTAAGAACAAGCTATATAATTATACACAGATCCTGGACAGCGGTAGTGTTGAGCTTTAGACATGGCCAGGATGGAAACAAAATACAATGATGAATAAAGAAAAATGTGTGAAATGAAAAGAAAGAAAGATTACCCACTCAATCCAGATTGATAAAAAAAAAACATTTAAAAAATAACCTCATTTATAATGAAAGATATGAAGACATGACTGTATAAAGAAATGTTTCATCAAAAATAAAGATCGACAGAAAGAGAAAATATTGAATGCAATATAAATATATCAGACAAATAAGAAGATTGTATAATGTGAAATCATGTCAGAAAAGATCGTAGAGAAAAAGAATAAACAAATGAACATGAAAAAGTGAATATCCGAATAAACATCGAGCCTCATACAATAATTATGAGGTCTAGTTTTAATTTGAATGACCCGATTGCGAAAGAGGTTGCCCATAGACGAAAATGAAACCGCAATTCGACAAAGAATTGTCCTCCCACTCAACTTTGGCGAAATTGAATGACGCTAACGCATTTCCAAATTGACTGAACCAAACGTTAATTTGAATGTGCTTGTTTCGAAAATTCGGTGACTCGAAACGAAATTGAATGCAAAAAGTTTAAAAATGAAACAGGGTAGCAACGAGTGGAGAAAATTTGCTCGAACATGAATGCACGTTAGTGAAATTGATCGCTGCTTTGACGAAATTGGCCGGGAAAACCTATACTATAATGTTTTTTTTTTATAACTTTCTTGTCCTTTCATTATTGTTAGTTGTTCTTATACATATTGGTTTTTTTGTTTGTCTAATTATTACCAATGACTTGTAAATATGTAATTTTTATATGATTGAAAATTAATAAACACACAAATATTTAAAAAAAAGTTTAGAAAATAAGGGCACTTATATACGTTAGGAAGAGAACCCATTCAGACGGGAAAATGAGATGGCAGCCTTTCTGCTTATTCACATTTATACAAATCATTTTGTTGCAGTTTGATGTTAGTTCTTCATGATAAGCCAATTGCTCTTCTTCCGGTGGCTTCGTGAGTCCCTTAAATTATTTAGTGAAAACAAAGTACTCGAATGAAACGGAGTGTTTTGCACACTAACATATATATATTAAAGCTACATATACACTTAACTAAAGGAAAGAAACCTTTAGAAAATGGACTGGATATTATTGAAAATATTATTCTAAACAAGAATGTACTACATGATTGTATTACTTTACGTTTCAATTTCACGAGAGAAATAGAACTCGAGAGGGGGAGCAGAGAAGAAGTGATGGAAATGAAAGAAGACTAATAGCATGAGAGGAAAGAAAAGAGCAAAGAAGACAAGAAAACGGTGTAAACAGGAAAAGGAGGAGCATGGGAGAGAGAGAAAGAGAGAGAGAGAGAGAGAGATAGCCTTGAGCTTTGGATCAGCTAATGAGTAATACATGAAACAGATTTTGAGCGGAGTAATTATCTTCCGCCGGAGAACTTGCGTAAGGAGCTATAGTTTTATTTTTTATTTTTTAAATCAAACATTATGGGGAATAGCAAAAAACGGTTGTCTTTTTTGCTCTTTTCTTTCCTCTCATGTTATTAGTCTTCTTTCATTGAGGTAATTTCAGGTATTACATATTGATGAGCTGTTTGAAATTAACTAGGAGGTATGCGCGTATTTGGGAATGTGGCTTGCTGCTCTACTTTAAAAAAAAAAAACTTCCCATGACATGTAATGAGTGTTTAGTGTACATTATGTGGGACGTACAGTGATAGATGGAAAGTTATTTCAGTATATTCGAAATGACTTTTAGGCAACTGCTTTTTCCTCCCACATTATCAACATTCATTCATTTCATTTCATTTACATAATGTCATGAAATGCATTCAAAAAATGAAGAAAAAAAGAAAGAAACAAAAACAACCCGTGAAAAAAAAATATTGTCGGCGAAGCATTTGTCGTAGTACTAGTAGCATTTGTATTTAATGGGACACTTTTTGGGCGGAGCAAATGTCGCCGGAGCAAATGTCACCGGAGCAATTGTCGCTTCAGGCGGAGCAATTGTCGGCGGAGCAATTGTCGACGGAGCAATTGTCGGCGGAGCAATTGTCGGCGGAGCAAATGTCGTCGGAGCAATTGTCGGAGGAGCATATGTCACCGGAGCAATTGTCGCTTCAGGCGGAGCAATTGTCGGCGGAGCAATTGACGGCGGAGCAATTGTCGGCGGAGCAATTGTCGGCGGAGCAAATGTCGGCGGAGCAAGTGTCGCTTCAGGCGGAGCAAATGTCGGCGGAGCAAATGTCGGCGGAGCAATTGTCGCGTTTTGCGGAGCAATTGACGGCGGAGCAATTGTCGGCGGAGCAATTGTCGGAGGAGCAATTGTCGGCGGAGCATCTGTCGGCGGAACAATTGTCGGCGGAGCAACTGTCGGCGGAGCACCTGTCGGCGGAGCATTTGACGTCGGAGCAAATGTCGCGGAGCAAATGTCGCGGAGCAATTGTCGCGTTTTGCGGAGTAAATGTCGGCGGAGCAATCGTCGGCGGAGCATGTGTCATGGAACCGTCAAAATCCCCCTGCTCGTTTAGGGCGATGCCTCTCTCAATCAATCTTTCGACCTTTTTAGAGTGTTCAAACTGTTGTTTGTTCCCTTCGCTCTTGAATGTTGGGATGGGTTTGGGTTGTTGAACCGTCGATGTGCAGGTGTCAACCCGGCGCTGTAAGACGTGGATGGCCGACAGGATTTCTTCGTTCGAGGCGGCGGGAATTTCGTCCATATCGTTATGGGTGTGGCAGTTAGCTTGAAGTACTTGTAAGGCCTATAAGTATAAGAACCGAGAGCTCTGACTGCATAACCGAGAATGAGCGTGTAAGCTCGAATCTCGAATAACGAGAATGCATATAACAAAAGATTACATAATGCAGCTGTTCGCGAAGGTATGCGTTCGATAACGAACATAAATTCCACAATTGAATGACACACGCCCTTAAAACTAAAACAACAACAACAACAGCTTGCGAGTGCTATACGCTAGTGTGAATTCAGGCGCGGATCCAGGGGGGGGGCCGAGCGTGCCTTGGCCCCCCCCCCCCCCCCGCAAAAAAAAAAAAAAAAGAGAGAAGAAAGGAAAAGAAGGGAAAGGGAAAAGGAGAAAAAGGGAAAGAAAGAAGAGGAAGAAGAAAAGAAAAGGGGGAAGAAGGAGATCGGGGGGGGGGGGGCCGAAAGGGCCTTGCCTCCCAGGCTGTTAACACCCCCCCCCCAATCAAAACAAATAAGAGAGAAGGAAGGAAAGGGAAAGAAAAAAAAAGGAAAAGAGGAGATACTGGCGTACTGATAGGGGGGGGGGCTTGGGAGAAGTCAAATTCAAACGTGGTTTATTTCTAATTCCACAACGGTGGATTACAAATAATGCTGAAATGACATAATTTCCGAAATTTTTCCTCACTTTTTAGTAAATTATACGTTTGTATGTGTTTCAGGGCTCAAATTAATTTTTTGTCCACGGGGGCTCTTCCCCCGAAAAAAAGAGCCCCCGTGAGCCTTCTCACGGGGGCTCTTTTTTATACAAATATCCATTTAATTGGTACCTATGATACTCTTCAATTATTTGCTATTTCATCATTATCATTTCAATCAGCATTTTCCCTCTTACAAATTTACAAGCTACATAGCTGTTACTGGCCTGTGTATATAATATACGCATACAACACTGATCTTTATGATGTCTTTAACGTGACATATCTTCTTCTCCCCTTGCAAACGAAAAAGAAAACATGGTCATTAAAAGGGATTAAGCGACAAATAATGATTGTGATTCAAATTGATGCGAATATTCGTTTGAATAAGCACTGCTATTCACCCGAAACTTCTTTGTAAAAACAACTTTTACAAATCTCAGCCATGCTTACTGAGTTGAGACGTTCCATTCAATTTAAAATACCCATTACATAATACACTTCTCCTAATCTCAAAGTGATCTTACAGCACAGTGGCAGAATTGCATGGCTGAGATTTGTAAAAGTCGTTTTTACAAAGAAGATTATGGTGAAAAGCATTGCTTATTCAAAAAAATCCTTGCATCAATTTGAATCACAATGATTATTTGTCGCATGGTCCTTTTATCAAATAACCTTGTTTTCTGTTTTGTTTGCAGAGGGAGAAGAAGCTATGTCACGTCGGTTAAGAAATCATAAAGATCAGTTGTATTATGCGTATATACATATGATACCAGAACAAATGTTGATTATCAGAATGTCATTTTGGAATACCTCTATACAAATACCACATTGTCTTTAGTCCGTATCAGTATTAGTATGATCCAATATAAGGCTATTATTCTTTATTTAATTCAGTATAATGCTTTTCCTCAAAAGTAGTTTTGCTATTTTTTTAGGGTCGAGACGCTAAGAAATGGTTTCAAATGTACATTACACGAACCCTGAACCATTGCAAAATGATGGTGGTTCTCTCTCTCTCTCTCTCTCTCTTTCTTTATCTTAATTATGCATTATCAACTACATATAAAGCAGCAACCTAAAACTTAGGGTTATCTGAGAAAGGTGAAAGTAAGAGTTAAAAAGAAAGTCATGCTAAAACGGCGCTTCACTTCCCACCGCCCCCTGAAAAAAATAAAATAGATTAGTAGTCCTCCTCTCCAGAATCCACCTCCCCCCCCCCCCCCCGCTTTAATATCACATTTTCACTTGGCAGCCCAAGGGGGCCGGGGGTGGGGGTTAAACCCCCTACCCCCCCCCCCCCCCCTGCCGTAGATCTGCCCATGTTACCATATCATTCCACGACATTTTGGTCTTCCTCTTCTCCTCAAAAGGGACTTTTAGATTTGCGTGGACGTGGACGTGTTACGTCCTTTTAAGGCACTGGCAATCACATGTGACGTCCTTTTAAAGTCACTGAGTAGTCGGCTCTCATGGGGAATTCGACACCGTTCGGGTGTTTACCCAATAACAGGTGTTGTCAATCACCAGGGTTAGCCTTGAGTTTTATGACCATTGGACCTTATGTAATGCCTTGATTTGCCCGAAGACTCTCGAGCTCTCCGAGAGATTAGGGGGTAATTCTTGACTGGACTATGGGTTTGCTGTGTGCAAATTTGTACCCCCATTAATGGTAAGTCCACCAAGTCTGGTGTCAGCGAATTATGGCCTTCTGCACATGGAAACTGGCGATCCACTCCCTTTAAGCACTGGCAGTGCCTTAAAAGGAGGTCACACGATGCAGTCCACGTTCTCATCGTGCAAATCTAAAAGTCCCTAATATTGATTTACTGGTCGAGGTTCATTATTTGCTGACAACGAAAAACTTCTCCAGGCCATGACCATGTTTCTGCCCTTGCCCGATCGCCTCCAGCTCCAGCAGACATGGCGCGGCAGCGTGCACACGCACCGCTACTAACGGCGCAGTAGGCCTATAACCACTGCTGACGGCGGCACTGCACTGCGAGCTGAATCGGTAATAATAGGCCTACTCATAAAACGAGAAATCTTGCACGCTAATCTTAGTTCCATTTCATTGGTTTAAGGTTTGAAAATTGAAACTCAATATTGTGTTAAAGTTATAACAGAAAAGATTATCTTTATTTTATAATTCCACCGGGGCGATTTTTAATTCTGCAATCGCCCCCGTGAGCAACCTGACGGGGGCGATTTTGTAGCTCACGGGGAAGAATCGCCCACCGCCCCGTGTATTTTGAGCGCTAATGTGTTTGTTGGAAAATGACAAATTTCTAAATTTACAGCCAGGCCAAAAATATGATTCTTGAGATTCCAACATGTCAGGGCCCGAGGTATGGCGGGGATCGAGAGCCTCGAGCCCCCCCCCCCCACTTTTCTTGAAAAAGTATATTAAAGAGAAATAAAATAGAATGAGAGCAAGAAAGTGAGAATAGTTAACTGCCAGTGTTAACAAAATAATGAGGCATCAAAATATGCTCATCTGACCGTGATTAAATGCCTAAAACCCTTAAGCTTCCCCCTTGCCCCCTGGATTCCATCTAGGGCCCTACGGCGGGCCCTTAGATGACCATCTGACGGTAATTTAATGCCTAAAACCCCTGATTTTTGGACCTGGACCCCACGCCAAATAGTGACCTGCCAGTGTCGCAAAATAATAAGGTATACAAAAAATATGCTCATCTGACCTTAATTAAACGCCTAAAACCCCTGAGCTTCCGGGGCCGGCTTCGCCGCCTCGACCCCACCAGGGGCCCTAAGGCGGGCCCCTGAATGCTTATCTGACCGTAATTTATTGCCTTAACCCCGCGGGGTCGGACAAGGTATCGAGATGTGTTTATCTGAATTCAGACGAGGATTAAGAGTCGAGAACTGTGAAACGAATCGTTTTCTTTCTTTAATGATTTAATGAAACGTAAAAGCTTCCGCGCTTCGCGCAGGAGGGGGAGGGGGAGGAACTGAATTTAGACAAGGATTAAGAGTCGAGAACTGTACAACGAATCGTTTTCTTCCTCTAATGATTAAATGAAACGTAAAAGCTTCCGCGCTTCGCGCGGGAGGGGGGGGGGAACCTGGATTCAGACGAGGATTAAGAGTCGAGAACTGTACAACGAATCGTTTTCTTCCTCTAATGATTTGTGACCTATAGTCAACATCTACTCATCCTACATACGTCCTCTTTTGGAGTATTCATCTCCCCTTTGGTCCCCAAGCATCACTGCAAATCAGTACAATGATATTGAGAAAATCCAGAAACGTGTCTGCCGCATCATTATGAAGGACCAGTATGTCTCTTACGACCATGCTCTAGAGCACCTCTCCATCTGTCGTATGTCGGAGCGTCATGAACAACTACTGGATTCCTTTGCCCGTAGTCTGTTGAAATCTCCCCGGCACCGTGATCTTCTCCCTCCCTTACGTAGTGATATGTCCTCTCGTCGCCTACGCTCTTCACATCTTCTCAACACCCCCTTCTGTCGGACTACCCGGTATTATTCCTCAACGATACCCACTATTGTTAGACTGCTTAATTCACCTTGAATCTTTGAACTAAAACTAACAAAGATCGAGTCATCAAAACAATGTATTTGATTATTTTCCCACATGCATTTTCATCTACTGATTGCTACTTTCGTATCTCTTCTTCTATGTGCAATATCAGTTAAGAACAGAACTTGAGAATTTTTCAATCAATGTGAAGTAGCCTATTTACTTGTTAATATTTATCTTTGTCGATGTCAACATTTCATCTTTATCATTACTATATTTAATTCGTTCAAGGTTTCTTCACTTTATACTCTCTGATGTAATATCAATTTGCCAATTTCGCTGAATTCAGGACCATCACTTTGTTAATATTTATCTTTGTCGATGTCAACATTACATCTTTATAATCACTATATTTAATTCATTCAAGGTTTCTTCACTTTATACTCTCTGATGTAATATTAATTTGCCAATTTCGCTTAATTCAGGAACATCACCTTGCAACCAATATTGAAACTTAGCTTCAATATCTTATCTTTTATCGTATTTTATCTGTATAAACATCTAAATGTTATCCCACCTACGTATCACTGTTGCAATAAACCTGTAAATTGTTAATTATCAATTTTCTATCTCATGTAAAACGAATGACAATTTTATATCATCAATGAAACTGTAAATCGTATTTAAATATACACAATATTTGATAAGTGTTCTATATATTTCAATGTGTTATCAATGCAATGTTATACCATGTACTTTTTACTCTGTAATTGAACAATTTCAGCTTTTAGCTGCATGTCCAATGATTTTTATCTCA